ACTTTAGTCTTCTTCTATTTATTTTTATTTGTCTTTTTTTATTATTTATTTTATATGTTTTAATTATTATTATTATTTATATTTTTTATATTAAAATAAAATGTTTGATTATACCTTACTTTCGTATATTTAGTATATGCAGATATATAATAATACAATCTTCTTGATTTAGTTCTTGATATTTTTGTAATTTCTTAATTTATTGTGTCTTATATATTATACTGTACTTAAAGAAGTTTATTATTAAACAATTTTACAAGAATTTATTTAATTTTTTATTTAATGATGTTTTTACCATAAAATTACAAGTAATGTTTAATACGTAAATATTTAAGAAATTATAATTTTAATTTAAAATATTAATTTTTAATTGAATATTATATATAATATAAAATTTTAAATTTTACATTACGAAATAAAGGGTTAAGACGTTGTGTCTAAGTTTTAAAAATTGAAGGGGATTTGCTACAAAAACAAGCCGACACTGTATACCCCACCAGAGCTTCACTGAGAACGGCCCGTTCACGGAACAAGTCCGATGCACGCGCGGCACGGCAGCGAGTTAATCCTGGCGAGGTGCCGGTGACCCACTCGGAAACGATAACGGGACTGACATGCGTTCATTCAAAGCAACCAAATCGATCACACTAACTGGATACTTGTTCGAAGAATCGAACGTGAAACTTTATTATATTTATTTCCAAAAATCAACTTTCGTTCAGCTGATTTGATTCTAGAAGCGAATAGAATAATGCATTTGACCACGCAAAGGTCAAGAATGGGAGAATTAGTTTTTACTTTTTACGAAACATCCAACTACATTTCTTAAAGAAAGATTAATATGATTAATCTGATTATTATTCTAATTAAATTGTGATGTAATAATATGGACAAACAATAGAAAAATCGCTGAAGGAAAGAATCTGAATTCTTTATTTGTCGAAGAAAATTTTATAAATCTTTATTTTTTTTAATTATTCTCACAATAGAATATAATTATATCATTTTTGTTCATGTTAATATAAAAGACAATTTTATACACTAATATATTTAAAAAAAAAAAACTAAAAAACTATATAATTCTTAATATAATTTAAAACTTTATGTAACTCTTTATCTAATTTGTCTTTAAAGTAATATAATTTTTATGTCTTTTTGTTTTATTTTATTCATTCTCCACACATTTAAAAATATTATAATTTATCGTTATTTAAGTGTAAAATCCTTATTATTTTGTGTATTATATAGCTACAAATGATAGATGTAGAGATCTTTTGACGATTGTTTGAACAAATTAATTTTTGTTATTGGAAAAGAAAGAAGATCAGGAACAAAATCGGGTAAAACTGCATAAAAGATAACACAAGAATGGACCTCTGATCATAAAAGATATATCTAACGTCGCACGTAAAATTGATTATAAATTTGATAAAAAAATTGCTTATCAGAATAATAATTACACTTTATATGTGAAAAAAATATTTTTATAACTATCGCATCCACAGAACTCACTGCGATAATGTCACATAAAGTAAAGTACGAGCTATTTATAAAGTAGATAATAATCGTAAAATGAAAAAGTAATTAATATATTTCCATTATTTTATATATTCTCTTATATTCTCTTAAATATATTCTTTTTCCAACAAAATACAGTAATTTTTTAAAAGAAAATAAATAACCAACAGAGAAGTCATCGCTTTAAGACAACACTTTATTATAGCTTAAAATATCAAGAATATGATAATATTACACAAAACTATATTAATTCGTTATTTATCAAACTTTATTAAGAATCATGGTGAATCAATTGAAAGCAGTGAGAATTAAAATCCTTACATAGATTAAGCACAATACAGATCTAAATTTTAATCCTTTGCCGAGTCAATTACATATTATTGAATATTCAGTCGCTAGTATTTCAGCATTACGTGACTCGAATTTTCAGAAATTCCATCAAAAAATGATCACCGTATTAAAAGATCTTATGTGATAAGATTATACACGTTTCATCTCGCACAAATCTTGAATCAGCAGGCAAAATACAAAATGCAAGAATATTTATGACAATACGAGATTTAGTTTGATAAAAATTGAAACGTATTTGGCTTGTAAGATTTGGCCTGGACATTGAAAGCTCAATTTAACAATATAGAATGCAATTTTGTAATAACTGAACAGACAAATAGAATCTTTTCTCATTCTTCATTTGCTGTGCAATACTGAATTCGTCATTTGTGTAATACTATAATTCTTTATTAGATTCTATTTTTTTATTTAAAGCAGAAGATAATAATATTTATATAATTGATGTTATAGCATAACCATAAATTTTACATGACGTATGATGAAGTATTGCAATAAATTATGAATTATTAGTACAGAAAATAAAAACTGTAAAAAAAGCAATTAATATATTTCAGGGATAAAAGTTACTTTCAAAACTATAATTCGTTACCGTTACTTTTTATCGATCTTAAAAAGTAACTCGTTATTTGTTACTAATTTTAAATAGTAATGTTATCATTATTTATTATCAATTTTAAAAAATAACTCGTTACTAATTACCGTTACTCAAAAAGCAACGAGTCGTTACACAAGTCGTTCCAAGTTATGTTATTTCTTTTAATGTTATTACAAGTCCAAGTTATATACAAAACACACATTACATCAAAATTTTTTCAATACAAATTTTTTTATCAATATTTTTAAAATACATTTCTATATTAAAATATAGCAGAAGCAATATAATTTTAATGCCAAAATTGCTATTCATATCAAAAATATAAAAAAGCATTATATGTAATCTTGATATTGATATTGTTATCGATATAAATTATATAACAAGTTTGATAATTATATTAAATTTTAATATTTTAATTAGTTTCTTTTTTTCGAAAAACATTGCAAAAAAACTTTTTTAGGGCTTTCAAATTCTGTAAGTGTAAATAAAAAAGATTTTCTTAATTTCTCCTGATTCCACCAAAATCGTTCTCCTTTCTTTTTTTTTTTTTTTTGCAAACCTTTAACTTTATGCAATTTACAAATTCTGACATAATATTCTAATTTACAGATCAAATTTATTTTTATAAGCAATAATTTATAAAAATTCTATTATTTGATTTAAAATAAAAGTCGTTGAATCATATCGAGATTCCCGAGAAAACATGGAGATAAGATCATATATGACCATATATAATTGTATTCGAAAATTGACACGATTGTATATGCGTATGTACAATCGCGTCAAAAATTTTGGGTATAATTATACTACAATTATAGCGATATATATGATGTTATATAATTACATAAAGTTTATTTTTTCTTGGATTATTTATTAATTTTTAGTAGAATTTAATCTTTTTATATATTTTTATTTGTATGGAAAACATGCCGCGTTAGTTCAAAAAGTAACAACAAAAGTAGTTATTAAATTTGTTATTTGTTACCAAAAAGAATGTATTGCAGTTACTTTTTTCGTTACATACAAAAATTGAGACATCATTATCATTACAGTTATCAAAAAGCCTATTACAGTTATCAAAAAGAGTAAATGTAACAATGAGGATATTTTTTATTGAGAACTGTAACATACTAACGGCCTTACAAAAAAGGCGTTAATTCTTAATTTTGGTTTATTTCCATTATTTCATATTCTAAAATTCTTTTTCTTTTTAAGTTTAATAATATATAGAATCTAGTTTTGTCATTAAATTGATTAGAAACCTTACCTGATCTTTCATTTGCTTTAATGCATCCATAACTTTAATTTTGCTGACTGTTTAATCGTGGTTGAGATAAATTATTGTCGCACTTGCAGCTAAAGAATTAATGGCGTTTCTTCTTTACACGTTGCACGTGTTCTATGAAGCAGCGAAAAAAGAAACATGGCATTGAGACAGCAACAACATCCCGATAGTAGCGGCATTCTAATAGTAGCGGTATCCCAACTATCGAAACTAGGGATGAACAAAAATTAATCGATCAATCGATATTTAATTTTTTTCTTATTAAAAGATTGATTATTTTTTTAGTATTTTTATATTCGATTAATCTTTATTCGATTAATCGATAGTTTTCTTACTCGATGTTATTAAAATTTTTTACTCAATGTTATTAAAATTTATTGCTGGATTTTACTAGAGAAAAACCTTTGAGAGTGGCTATAGGGCCTCTTTTCGTAAGTCATTTAAATACCCGCCTCAACAGCGTCTCTACATCCATTTTACAGCCGCTTGGAACTACATAGCCACATCGACTTCTCAATGCTACTGGTAAAATCTCCGCGTTTGGTGTGTGTCCGTGCTATATTCATAATTGGTGGATCAAAAATACGAAAATATTATGAATTTATTAATGTGTTTTATTAGCTACGCGTCATATTACTTTATTATAATATATACTACGAATAGCGATGTAAGTTATTATATTCAAGTATTTTTATATATTTACTTGCATATGGAATAAAATAAATTTTCTTTATTAATTTATTTAATGATTCTTGATTTAACACAATGAAGAGGGTAACTGCAATATAATGCTTTGTTTTTCTTTTTTATTTTTGGAACAAATGTGTCAAGTATATAAAGCAATGTAGCAAATTATGCTTTAAATTGATAGGAAATTTGGTTGTGGACCCAGCAAACACAAAGTAACAGTAACATAACATTAATGTTATAATTTCCCACTCAACAATGTAACTGTTACGTACAAGGCATGTTATATTGCAGTTACATTGTTGAGTGGGAAATTATAACATTGATGTTATGTTACTGTTACTTTGTGTTTGCTGGGGATGTACACTAGTGTGTGAATGCGTATGTGCTGATGCATATGAGAAGCTATTGTGTATAAATTTACAATAGCATATTAAGTAATTAAAATAATAAAATAATTAATACTACAAATTATTATTGTTATTTGTATTGAATACATATAAATGTCATTTGACATATATACAAATATTCACACACACACACACACGCACACACACACGCACATGCACACGCACACGCACACGCACACGCACACGCACACGCACACGCACACACATATATATATATATGTATATATATATATATATATATATATATGTATGTATGTATGTACAAATTGTTCTCTTATAATGCAGTGTCGATTTCAATCATAAAAGAAAAAAAAATTATGTAGAAAGTTAACATATAACAATAGAATAAATTCAATACTTTTTATAGTCTTTAAGAAAGCGTTACAAAAATATTTCTTAAAGGATAAAGCTGATTATTTTTTTTTCAGAAAAAAATTAAAAAAGAAATTATTTTAAAAAGAGTTAAAATAATTTTCGAGAAGTTAAAGTCTTTTTTTTCAATTATTTATCTTTCCGGGTTATTATATACATTTTATATACCTTTGTAACACATATTTGTTATATAGTAAGAAATGATTAAAAATGATATAATATATACTTGAAGCCATTTTCAGAAAAAATGCCACGCAAAGGTTATTTTTTTTTAAATATTAAGTCATCAAGAAAAAGACGTTTTTAAAATTTTTGATGTAAATTTACAAGAAACATTGCTGTGTGATCTAGTACCATATGAAGCGCTGAAAGCACAACTACAGCGAGATATGCATTCGTCTGTCTATTTATTGCAACAATAATCAATTTGATAATAAATCGAAAACACATAATCGAGTTTAGTTTGTCTTGTGGCATCAGTAAGAAGGGAATCATCTTACCGATTTGTAAAGTCATCATGTGCATTACAATTCGAGTAATCGTTATGCAAGAATGGCGCCAATCGCGCTACTGCATTATTTAAATTAATTTTCTCATTAGCTTCCTTAGTATTGGCTATTGTATGTTTATGGCTCACCATGTAGAGATGGACCTTCGTTTTAAACAGTGCATCCTGGCTCGGAAGAATACAGATGATTCGTTCGTGTTACGAAGGAATGCGTCTTGATATTATCAGTAGTTATATGAAAAGAACTGCATAAAAAAAATTACAACATAATTACAAATACATTTTTAACAATGTTTATTCCGTTGTGATGACTTACAATTTATTAGATTTTGTTTTATGATTTTCTTTGTTGTGGATTTCGTAAAATTAAATAAATTGTGTCTTGTTATTATATCTTTATCAATTTTAAATAAACTTTATTGCGTCAAAAACTTTCCAATTTGTTCTATTTTTTTATTTCTTTTTAAATTACTGTACATAAAAATTGAATAATAATAACATGGTGTTTTCGATTCTTTACTGCTTCAAGATATAATATTTAAGATTCAATATTTGTCTTATCGAAAAATTAGTTGGCTGATGCAATGACGCCGAAATCTCTATAACAACAACGATAAAATGGTCAATACTTCTCAGTATAAATGATATTATTTACATTGGCTCCTATTACATTACGTTTTCATGCAAGTTGCGCGAAATCTCACATAACACAAATGCATATTTAGTTCGTAATTATCTTGCGAATGGCAGAGATGACATAGTTATCCATGTTGCAATGAAATATGTTGTCATATCGAAAACTGTCAATATATTTCTGGCATCTAACAAGCTCAATAAATCTCATATGAGAGAGTGGAGCAATGATTAACATAATAAAAAAAGTGACAGTATTTGAAATACAACACATGTACATGAATAGAAAGAAGTAATAGTTATCTAAAAATTTAATTGTGTATAAGTAAATACAAAATTGTAAAGAGAAAAAACGTGAAAAAAAACTTGGTAGAACGATTTTTAAGACTTACCGTTTCTTCAGTATTCGTCTTATAAATCGAAATGGTTATATTTGGCATATTGAACTTCAATCAATCATAGCTCTTCAAAGTGATAAAATCTTTTACCATTTCCCGGATTTATATAATTGTCGACTTTGTATCGTTTTAATTTCATCAGTGCGATAATCATTTCAGAGTATTCAGATCAATACTCGTAACTCTTATAAACCACGTGATTCGAGTTAGTCAGTGCATTCATACATTAAAGAGAGAAATTTTCCCTTTAACCAATACCAACAATAGCCGCTTTGTTCCTCGCGTAATAATTTTCCTCCTTCGCGATTTACAGAACACATTCCCTATTTATATAGTATATACTTCCGGTTTTTAAGTATAAAGATTATGAGCGAGATTATTTATGTATGCAAGTATTCTTTTTCTTCTTACGGGCACAACATAAATAAAAATAATTAATTCCATTTTAAATTATATTCAAGTAAAGTAAATTAATTTTTTTCTTCTAACATTTTTATATTAAGATCTAGGCGCCCACTGAGACTAAAGTTGACATGACCGATAAACGTATAATAGTTCGTTCACCTTTCAACATATCAAGCGCATTCACAATCTTAATGCAGCGACACAATTACATCGACCTGCATTTTTTATGCATTTATTCGTCTGATTGCACTTCAATGATAAATTCTTTTACATTAATTTATTCATCGATTTGATTCTTGGCTGATAATCAAAATTCGATAGTTTTTTATTCTTGCCACAATCATTGGAGCAAATCCAGATCTTGACAAATCCGTGCAAAGTTCATCGCCATTCTTTGCTGGAAATGCATTTTATTATGTTCTTGTATCCTTGAAGGGGTAGAACGTTTGTTTAGCGCATTATCGTTCCCGTGCGTGAAATTATTTATTGATCAGTGTGCTGTCTTGTATACGAAGAGCACATGTAGCATGCATTATTCATAATCACCTACATGCCAGTGAATTAACATTTGCGCGAATCGTTGCACCGAAAAGCAAATGTATTCTCTTGATATCATTAATTTATCTGCAAAGGTGTAAAATTACTTTTAACTATTATTACTAATGCGATAATAAATATTAATATTATAAAGTATTTCACAAATTGCAAAATATATTTAATTCCAATCACGCACAACTTGCGCATAACTTTATTTGTATAATTTGACAGTTTATATAATTTTCTTAAACTTTTATTTAAAACATAGAATGAAAATTTTGGTTTGTGTTCAAATTTTGAACATAATCACATATATGTTTATCGGCAAAATTAGAATAATATATGAGATTTTTTTACGAGAAAATTAATCATATTTTTAAAAATTAAATTGATTGTGCACCATTATACTTGCATTACTAATATCACTGATAAATTTAGCAATAAATGATTGACGAGATTGCTCCTGATGATCCCGCGCAGGCGCCGCTGCGTTACGGCAGTAAACAAAACTAGATCCGACCGCGTGGTTCCAATCAGTCAGACGGCGACTCCGTTCATCGAAGGAATACTCTTGGTACCCTTCACAAGATACTATAAAAATCTTTAATTCAAGATCTCTGTGTTTATCTTTGATCGGGAGATTCGCAGGTTTATTTCGTCGTTCGTTGACTCTCCAGAATTATTGCGACGAGAAGAGCGCGACGAGTGATCGGCGTTTCTTATCGATACGAGGATCAGATCGACGACCTTGATTGATAGACTACAATTCGATTTAGGAAATCCTGTCAGATCTTGTTTGAAAGAATCTCAAGTATCACAAGACAATAATCGACTAGAAAAGGTTCGAATATCGAATCTACTCAAAAAATGATCACGGTTCTCTGAGTTCGTGATTTTTGCTGCACCAAAATCTGAATTTCAAAATCTCGAGATATTGCCAAGATTTCAAGATTTTTATAGTATTTGTTTCTAATATTTTAATCTTTTCTCTCCACAATTTATATTCTTAATCAATTTCTAATATTTCCGCAGTTAGCCACTATTGCGAATTTTGCGCAAAAGTAGTTTTTCGATATTTCTCATCATTTCGTAAAAAAGATATTTTTTTCAATATAAAACTGATGAGTAAGTTTCTATCTGGAGTTATTCAATGTTACATGTAAGAAGTCTTTAAATCATTGGTTTGCTTTATAGAGCATAGAGCTAGTCTTATTAGAGCTCAGAATAAGTCTTACTTCTGTCATCTTGAGTCTACATCTGTATAAATACAAATGACTCGCATGCTTTATGTGTTGTTAAGAGAAGTGTATCTTGATCTACCTTGAATTTATCGTGATCTACATTAATCGAAAAACAAAAGCAAGAGAAGAAGAAAAATATATACGTCCAATAATCGAACTATGATCAATGCTAATAACTCCTAAACAATAGCGTATAAGTTTGGAGGAAAAACAATAATAGCTAATGAGATAATCGATACCCAAAGAGAAGTGACGTTTACGTCAAATTATAACAATTGATGTAAGCCAGTTGGCAAATAATGATATCAAGACGTTGTTATTGTATTGCGAATTGCGTTTTACGCCATTAAGATAAGTTTTTCGACAAATTTAAACAAGCAAACACTAAGTGAAATTAAATTTTTAAACCGAACAAAACATATTATAAAAATTGCAATCATGGTAGCGGATAACTGGCAAAATTATACTTTGTCAACTTTGATGTTTACTAAAACAACGATAATGCCCGATGCAATAGCGAGCATTGTACCGAAGAGACACGTGAGTTTAGTTTCTCAAGTTGTATTGACTCTTGTCTACATAACCGGTGTCATCGGCAACGTGTCTGCCCTGGTCATCCTCTTCCATCGAGATAAGGTAATTCAATAAGAAATAAGAGGTCATTTTCCAATTCATATATTAATTAAATAATGAAATGCTTTATATTTTGCATAAATTATCGTATAAAATATTCATATTATTGTTAAATATAAAGTACAATATAATTTGCTTGTTATTTTAATTAATAATACAAAAATGTTATTACCAATAAAAAAATATTTATTGTAAATAATAGAAATGTAAAAATGCTTTCCTTTAATTAATTATGAAATAAGTAATCCTTAAACTTTTGTAATCAATAGTTTGATTACTGACTTATATATTTCAGAAATCAATTTTTTATGAACTTAATTCCGGCGACAGAAAGAAAAACTTCTGTTATTAAAACTTATAAGCTTTTCTAGAATAGTTTAATAAATATAACTTTTATTTTAAATTATTTTATAAATTAAAAATTTATTACGATAAGCAAATAAATACAAATCGTAGAACACTGGACATTAACCATTATCACAATTATAAATCTACTAATAACATCTTTTAATATAAATATATGAAAAATACTATATATATATAGTATATAACAAAAATATATTTTAAAAGCAGGTTTCTTGCTCTGGCATACATTTCGTGAGCCTTTTAGCAATAAAAAGTTATAGAGTGTCATATTACCCATTTTGGGACCGTTTTATTTCAGAGGAGAAACCGTAAGCACCTGCTGATGCTGCGTTGTCTAGCAACCAACGATCTCGTGGCATTGTTGGGGATGTTGGTACAAATGTACGTCACTATCTATGTAGGTAACGTGATGTCCATGAGAATATTTTGCTCTCTACGTGTGGTTTGGCGACTTTTCGGCCTCTTCAGCGGTTGCGTCGCCATTGTCATGGCAGCAGAGAGGTGGTTGGCCTTGACTAGACCCTTCGTTTATCAAAAGGTGAGCTTTAAAATAATATCGTAATCAACGTAATTCTTTGTCAAGAGTAAACTAATTATGCGGAAGTTTGCAAGGGTAATTTGTTCTTCGTCATTGAACGTTCATGGAAAGCGGTTAACGCACGTTTATGACATGACGTTTCTTAAGTAATTTAAATGATCATTAGATTATCCTGATGATTCTGCTGAGATTTATATTTTATATATTAATCCAGAATTAAATATCTTCTTTGTTTCTAAAATATTTTTTTCTAAGAAATCTTTTATTTTGCTAACGTTTTGTGCTGTAAAATTGAATTAGAAGATAAATTAAATTAAGTAAATTAATCTTTTTCTCATGTAGAAAAAATTAAGTAAATAAAAAAATGTAATTAGTTATTGAAGAAATGAATTCTTTTAATAACGAATCTAAAATTAACGCGACTACGCACATTGCCAAAGTAAACTGCACGTTGTAATTCATGACGTGTTTTCGCTTTATGTGGACGAGCTAACGCGTGTAAGAAAATTTATACACGTGTGCCGTAGAGGCACTTTAGAGTTCTACGACGTTTATAGAGCAGCCGTATATTATGACAAAGAGGTAAAAGCATAAAGAATTTTTACAATTGATCGACAAATCTGAGTAGAAACTATTTTCATAAGTTACATTATTTATTAATATGGAAACACTATATAAAAGTCAAATTGCCGAGTTTCGATAAATGAACGGATTAGAATTTTTTTTTATAGAAGCACTAATTAAGAAAGTATCGATCGCAATACACGATAGATAAGGTTGACGTCTTTCGTACTCTAATAATAAAACGTCAATTTACACTATGATCATCTTCAGAAGCAGCACCCAAGATTGTAATTAATTGGAGATGATTAATGTTGTTGTTACGTCGCGCATACCATCAAATATTCCCTTTTCTAGAAAAAACTTAGTTTGAGATATTTTTCTCGACAGTATCGTGTTCCAAAATAAATTGCATAATAATTTGCAAACTATATTGATTTAGTAAGTGTATTTATGATAAATTAACGAATGTATTTAACAAATATTATAGTCATAATAGAAATTTAATAAAAATTTACCAGAGAAAAAGAGGGATAAAGAGAGATAAAGAGAGTTAAGTTAATTAATAGTTCAAACTTATATTAAATTTAAAATTTATTTGATTTGATTTTCAATATAACGTTTTGAATATCTAAATATCTGTTTCGATATAATTTTTGTCAAACTTGCGATCGATGATTGTCAATGTATAGAGTACACATCATTTTATTGTTCCAAAAATAGATTGAACTGTAATTTTCAACGCAGCACGTTTCTTAATCGTTAATCAATATCACTTATAGGAACAAACACATTGTGTTACCAAGAAGTTTATTACTTCCTTCTTCTACGATGTAATATCTACGATATTACTTTATATACATATATTTGTCTAAACGATATTACAATAATATGTTAAAACTTTTATTAAATAGTCAAGAAAAGACTTTTATTAAATTGTCAAAAAAATTTACAATATATTGTGTCGTCTAAATTAAATTTTATTTTATATTATGCTTAAAAATATTTAAAATATTAGTTTAAAATATAAATTAAAATGAGTAATTTTAACATTATTTTAAGAATTGTACATATTAACTCTGAAATATATATAAATATTACTGTAAAAAATCTAGAAATTTAAAACTTGCGCGCGTGTTAGCATAAATAAAATATCAATCTCTTGTGAATAAATATATGATTAATTTTAACGAATTGATGAAAAAGATAATATTCTCGATTATGGTATATTATTTCCGATTTTCCGATATTGCCTAATATAAAGATCATCAATAAAACTGATGTAAAGCCGCAACGAAGAATCGATCGATTTATCGATATCGGTCTAATTTCTCCGACCATTCTTAAAGACAAGGTTTAATCCAGGATCTCGAGTATTATTTTTGCAGATCTCAAAAGCGTATAATCATTCTTGAAAATTCCGCAAAGATCTAGAAAAGGATACCTGACGATGTATTCTCGAAATATCCGGAACGTCGCAGCTTGTCGAAGCAAAGCGCGAACGTACGTTTCGTGTATTAAAGTAGGCTTATTTAACAAACACTGCATTCATATTGTCATATATTTTCGCATGTAATATCAAATGAGAGATTTGCATGTGAAAATATGGAGCCACAAAACTGGATTGTTCCTTTTTTGTGTTTATTAGATTTATTAGATCCAACACTTACCCGATTTTTTTCTCTTCTGATCTTGCCAAAGCGTCTCTGAAGAATGGAGTAAGCGAGAGAGAGGCGCATAAATCCCAATCGAGATCATGTAACGTAGAAGTAATGACTATTTACGCGACTATTGGGAGATAATAAATTCAATGTCTCCTTTAGAAAAAAATCTCATACGCAAAACTTGACAACTTGATTTTTAAGGGCACTAGTAATCATTCATCAGAAAGAGGCAATAGTAATATGAGATCTGGGATAGAAATTTGAATCATAAAATAAATTAGATTTTTTCTAGAAGTATCTCCTAGAGATATTTTAATTAAAATCTTTTATTAAAAAAGAAATTACATTTTTTGATATTTATAAACACTAGAAACGGAGAAAAGTAAATTAATAAAGATTTATAAACTATAAAATAGAAAAATTGTCAATTTTAGCGGCGCTTTTTAATATTTATCTATCATATAAATTGCGTATCGTGTTCAGATTTCAAAGTTTAAAGGAAAATGTTATCTTATCACACCTTGCTCTATAGAGCCAATTGAGCTTCCTCGAGTTTTTTCAATTTGTAATCATCGCAGCACAAAAGCAAGAAATCGATGCTCGCATCGTGGTGTTTCGATATCTTAATAGATGACACGCATGTATCTTCCAGCAGGTAACGTATCCGGTAATTGTGCGTTGTATGTTGGCGCTTTGGCTGGTCGCACTGGCGATGACCAGTCTGCCAGTTATGGGCTTCGGATTGTACTACAAAAGCGAGCGTTGCGTACGCTATAGGGAGGCTACAGAGCCGAGCGACATCGCTTATGCTTATGTATGGTTCGTTTTCGGTGAGTAAACTATAAATAACAGTGTAAATATATTTTTATATTTAAAATATAGATATACTCTCATTGAAAATTTATTAAAAAATATAAAGTTGCACATACATATTTATTATGTTAAATATAAATGTAAAATTATATAATTATGATTCTGTTTCTAGCAAGAACTCAAATGTTAAAGAATCATTTTTGTATTATACTTATTATTTTAATGATCTTTTAATTAATAGGTACACTCTTATGCTTGTCCATTGTCTGGTGCAATTTGGCAGTCTCTAGAGCTTTGAGTAGATTAAGTCGCCGCGCAGGTTCTCTCAGGCGAATCTGCAGAGCCTCATCGCGGGCAAAACCTTTGCTAACCGTAGCCGGACCTCCGAATCGACCGGAAGCTGCTACGACTGAGGAAAAGGCATTTGCACGACTTATGGCTGTATTATCGATATCATTCGTTATCTGCTGGATGCCACATATGGTAAGTTTGCCGACTTCAATTAGTTTTAATTTATGATAAAATTGTGTGAAGAAAAAAACAATGACACTTGGATCGTATTTTTAAATAAATTAATTGATTTACAAGACGGATCTTCTCATCGGAAACAATAATCGTAATTATTTATATCTATATATTTATATCAATACAAAAATCGTGCGTTTCCGTTTTAAAAGCGATGAAGGTCAGCAAGGATGAATAATGAATATTTGAAAATAGTTTCACGTACGAGCCATCGAGACATCCGCGAGTCAATATTCTGGTGGTATCTGAATTGATTTCATTCTGTTGACAATTTTATTGGATGACGGAAAATTCTCCTTTGGAAGAATCGCGATTTGATCGTAGAAAGAATACGACTCAGCAAATAATTTTTCTACAGTTGCATTAGAAATATATTTTAACATTTTTCTTCTTTGGATTATATTTAATAATATAAAAATATAATATATTATATAAAGATAAACGTACATAGATTCTGTTTTCTTTTATCTATAAAAATCTTTGTGAAAGGAAAGATTTAATAATACAAAATTGCGTAACTACCCTTGTCTACTCATGAAAATGTTTCTCTATAGCATATATTTTTTCAACAATTCACAATTATCAATCTTTTGTTAGAAATTATTATACTTATCTTTTTTTCTTATTTTCGCTCGTAGATTTCTATTCCGCTGGCTCAATTCGCGATACGGCTACCACAAACGGCGATCGCTATACGGAAATTCATTCACATCTTCCACACCATAGCCGATATTCTTTTATGCATTCACTTCACCTTGGATCCGTATATTTATGTACTTCTACGAGTACCACGGCCGAGATTTCGATTACTGAAACCACTCTGCAAGATCTGCTGGCCGGATCGAAGCCGATCCAACTCGTTTACAGGTAAGACGACCTATGTGTAATATCGAAAAAATTCTTATACATCAAGAGTTTAAGGCAGCACTTGATACACATGTAAAAATTTATACAAATTAATTATTTATTATATATTATAAGCAAGTATATAATTTACACTATTAATATAACAAGTTATGTATTATATGTAAGTAAAAAAATAGAAGGATTAAATAAGATTAGTATACTGTAATTAAAAATATAGAAAGTTATTATTGATAAGGCAAAATAAAAAATTACATTTTACAAAATTGCCATAAAACTTATTTTATGCAATAGGAACAATGGATCATCAATGTAGTAGTGGTGATCCACCCACGCCGATTACTGAGGCTCCATCGACACCTGTTAGCGAGGAGCATGATTCGCATCTCGTCACGGCATCGGCATCTCTCTGAGACCGGTCTGTGCGAATGATCTTAAAGCGATTGAAAAATCACACGACCACGTATGAACACTTGAATTGTTTCGGCACCAGAAGATATTTACTTCTTTTTTGACTGACTATCGAAGACACCATTCATTTACGCAATGCAAGTTGATTTTCTACGCACAAAACCACAATTACTTAAAATACTTAAAGAGAGAGAGAGAGAGAGAGAGAGAGTTTTAACTTGTAGATAAAAAATATACTTTTGAATCGATTTACTCTTAAATACGTACTTATGTAAGCTTCTAGTCAGTAATAAGCGTGAAAATATTACATTTTACAAAATTGCCATAAAACTTATTTTATGCAATAGGAACAATGGATCATCAATGTAGTAGTGGTGATCCACCCACGCCGATTACTGAGGCTCCATCGACACCTGTTAGCGAGGAGCATGATTCGCATCTCGTCACGGCATCGGCATCTCTCTGAGACCGGTCTGTGCGAATGATCTTAAAGCGATTGAAAAATCACACGACCACGTATGAACACTTGAATTGTTTCGGCACCAGAAGATATTTACTTCTTTTTTATCGAAGTATCGAAGACACCATTCATTTACGCAATGCAAGTTGATTTTCTACGCACAAAACCACAATTACTTAAAATACTTAAAGAGAGAGAGAGAGAGAGAGAGAGAGAGTATTAACTTGTAGATAAAAAATATACTTTTGAATCAATTTACTCTTAAATACGTACTTATGTAAGCTTCTAGTCAGTAATAAGCGTGAAAATAAATGACAGATTTATTAATCGCCTGCGCAATTAGCATAGAAATAGGGCACGTTAATTGCAACGAAAGTGTAATGCAATCAGAGCTGAATCAAAAAAATATATTCTCCAAATATATATTCAAAAAATAAAATATAAAATACTGGAAAGTATATTTTAAAGAGAAAAAAATCTAGTTTAAGATATATGTTTTTACAAAAAACTTTTTCCTAGTTCAAGATACTTATAAGATAAAATGCAGTTCGATTATTTCAAGCATTTATATCATGTATCCGAAATATTCTTTCAGCCTTGAATGCAATATAAAAATGCTATACAAAACAATTATATATATACACATATCTTTTGCAACGTAGAGCGTAGCAATGTCGTTATTATATTTGTAAACGACTTTATTTTAAACGAACATTGTTATTTGTACATAATATCATACATATATATGTTAATATTTTGTGTATATCGCACGCGCGGTATCGCATAGTATTTGCGCGCGTTTAACAATTTTGGAATAATAAATGTTAATCCGAAATTTTCTATATCACGATTCCGGTCTCCGGAACAAGCACACATGCACAAATACTCTCACACACGTACAAAAAGGATAGAAGGCAAATATACACTTCGCACTTTTGATGCAGAATCTATGATATCGTCACGCGCTATCCGTTATACATACATTATAATGTTCGAAGTGATATAGCGCAGCGAGATAATCAATAATAAACCAAAAAAAAATATCGAATGACATTATATATAATTCAAGTGTAGTCACGTGTGTCAAAGCAGACAATTTGCCTATAAAACACTGACTATATTGAAAATATAACTTATGTACTCACTATCGAAAAAGTGAAGTCTCGCTCGAGAAACGTATACATATCTCACAAATGCAAGTTTAATTAAAATTTATGTATGCATTGTATAGCGCATATACAAGATATAACGTCAATCGAAAGTTATTGTGATTGCGCTCTCTGTGTATTTTTGCTCTCTTATATATTATAATTTATTTATAATATAAAAGAAAGATGCAATATATTTTATCATTATATAATATCATTATATTATATTATCTATTATTATGTTTTTGCAGAAACGTTAAACATTAAAATATTACATCAGTTGGACATATGTACTTCTAATAAAGATTCTTTTGTTTATTTAATATTATCGACATGTATTGTCTCTAATGTATATGTATTATCTTCAATAAAATATGTTTTTTAATACAATTTTTTCTTTTGATGATAAATAAAATTACAACTGAAAGCGCAATATCTCAAAATTTTTCTCACGTTTCGTGACGTTGCACCGTATATATTTGCTTGAAGAACGATCTCTTGGAGATTGAAGTTATACTTGATTACATACCATTCACATTCATACATGTATTTCCGTATGCCTTAATTCGACCAAAATTTATATAATTTGCTAATATATCCTTTTGAGAGACAAAATATTATTTTTGTGCGATAAATAAGTGCGCGCCAAATCCTGATTTAGACGTTATAATTGACATATACACATAAATAGAATTGTCGAACATCAGAATGAAAGAGATTGCATAGAAAGATAAATATTTCTTTATCTAAAAAGATCTGCGTGTCGAGTATATTCGAATAAGAATAATAAACCGTAAAAGCCGAGACACTCTGCGTAAGACGATAATAAACTTTGAGTTACGCACAATTTTTTATCTGAAGTTTAATAGAATATCCATTGTACTTAATTTATAGATTTGTCATATTTTTTCCACTGTGAATTATAAATTACGTAAATCACTACATTCGCAGATAATCGGAATAATTACTTGGCCGTTGCTTTTACAGTCGCTTGTTTTTATGAACAACGAAGGATGTCACAAGCAGAAACATTGATGGCTTTTATATACATACAACTTCGGTTGATCTCGTGTATAATTGAGGTTCTCATTATCATTTAATTATTGTCAGGCGCTCTATTACAGACTGTCGACTATTTAAATTGCGTACTCATGGCAATCAATGTTGTATGTTTTTAGCTAAAAGTCAAAACAGTCATTAATTCTTCGAATATTCGTGTCACGTAAGTGATTAATAGAAGCGATAAATCATCGCGTATTTTCTTATTAAATGCGCTGCGATTTTTATTATCAGATCCTTATCTTGAATTAAATTTGCTTTCAAATTATTATATTATCCGACATTGATTACAAAGACCTGCAGAAGCAGCGAGTGTAAACGACTAAATTATCAATTATCACGATTGTACAAAAGCAGTGGTGCACAACCTTTTAAATTTCTCTTGTATTATTAGATTTACAATGATTTTTCGATTATAAATCATATGATGTATGTTTGTATTCTTACAGAAAAGTAAATAAGCAAGTAACTGTATGTACCAAAGAATAATTAAATTAATATTACTGATCTTTTTTACAATTTCCTCGTGCAAATCAAATATTAGGGAAAACTCCGAAATCTTTAAGAATAATCGCCTTCAATCTATTACAATTAAGTTACATTTTTATAAAACGGGATTCTAAAATTTTGTAATAACTTTTAACTTTTGAAATAACTTTTATATAAAAAATTAGAAAGAAGAGAATAAAAAATATACGATAGAACGCGTATATAAGCACGAATTCATGAATGATTTATTGGCACTTGTACTGACTTGCAGTTATAGGTATAAATTCGCTTTCACTGACTTGTGATCTTAATTAGAAAATAATAAAACCCAAATAAAATAAAAACATTCGCCTCTCTAATAAGCGAAAGCTTCAAATATCTGTCTTTATTTCTCTTGCCTCCTTCTAATAAATAAATTTTTGTATTAAATTACTCCATTTTTCTAACGCCCTTGATGTACACAGATCCGATAAATTTCTCAACAATTAACACAAACACATCGAGTTACATTTTATACGATGTACTAGAAATAACCAAGAACGTTAGTATTTTCGCGGCATCGATCGATCAAACAGGGAGTAAATTTTCGTGTTTTTTTTTTTTTTTTGGCACTTTAGTAATCGTAACAAATTATAGATCTCTATGTATATATCTACTATTTTTCAATTTAGGCCAGTATTGATACATATAAGCTCGATTCAACGCCCTGCCAGGTACTCCACTATCGTCGATTTATCGATGTCGATGATTTACTTGATCGTAATCCGGTCCGTTAACATACATGTTTTATTTAGCTGCACTTTTTACTATTTTTTTATATATATTTCTCTCTCTTTTAAAAGCTTCACTGTGCGCTTGTTTCGTTTTAAACCTACAGGGTATTTGAAAATGCAGCTAAAAGAAAACGTGCCCTTAAACCAAATTCAAACGACACAAACGTCTAAAAACCATTTATCGTTATTTAAAAGATGTAGATGTTTGTAGATGTCTTTTAAATTTTTGTGTCATTTGGCTATTTTAACATGTGGGCCACTCTTGAAATCGCGTTTTTGTATAAATGGCAAACATACATCGACATCGAGAATTACATTTAGAATCAGATCCTATCATTTCCAACATTACGCAATTTTATTTATCTCCGATTTTATTTACCAAAGGCACGTGCTCAATGTAGTGAAATTCCTTCTTTATACTACATAATAAATATTATAAATACAGAATTGAAATAAATACAATGCAAATCGCTAATAATTTAATAATTTATAATGTGTGAAAAAATAGTATAGAACTTTTAAACATCAATTGTTTCATAACATATTACTTCTCAAATATATGTACAGAAAAAAAAAAAAAAAATTTGACCATCGAGCACTTGTCGTTGGTAAACGATTTTGCGTCAGACTTGCGCGAGTGATGACCAAACAACAACGGACAACATCCTTTTTATAGATCGCGCAAAGACGAGAGAGACAGGTCCAAGACCGTCCTCGATCAACCGGACTCCCGCGCAAAATGCACCCGACACTTCTTCATGTCCTGGAAGTAGTGCAGTTCTCGCATCTTGCCCTTAATCCATTCGGCTAATATCAGCCAGAGAATTCTACCGCGCTCCTTGAAAACCCGACCTGTTGGCGCGTCGTGATCGGCCACGATCAGACGACGGCGATGGCATCCGTCCGCATGCTGCGCGTACAATAACGATTCCCACGGCGTGTCATGCCGGCTTTCGTTTACCGCGACCCTTGCCTACAATGCAGGCGATCATCGTCAAATCGCTTCTTACGATAATTTACGGTAATTATAGATCCACCCAAGATCAAGCATATTCAATTAAAATTGCCTTTCCGAAACAAACTCGATCCATTATCGTTCGCACAAGCGCGTAATGAATTATACGTATAATAGTATTTAAAATTAATGATAATTATTATGTGTTTTCTCATCATGACAATTGTCGCGATATATCTTGTTTTTATGTTATATCTTTTTTTCAGATTATATTATATCGATAAAATAACATATTGTAGATCTATAATCATTGATTTAGATATTAAAATGATTAATTATCATTCTATTGAAGACTAAAATAAGCATTCGTGAATCAGTTTGAATCAGGAAAGAACTAATCTCTCGATATGATAAAAAGTACCTTGGACTAGCATGCCTGCAAAAATAATATATAAATGTAACGTGAAGATTTTGAAAAAATGTAAGAATCTTATTTGCCTCAAGAAATAAAATTAAAAAAAAAAAAAGAATACAATAAGAAACAACAGTTTACAGTAAAAAAATTAATACAATAAAAAATAAAGTCATTGCTACAGGAAGTATGTGTAGATAAGTGACAAACCATACATATCTAAATTCTACCGGAGAAGTTGGATATTGTATTTAAAATTTCGATAAAATAATGTAATACTTACTAGATGTAAAGTAGCTACTGCATCATCCTGAACATTGTTCAGCATGATAAAAATTTTTATATAACATAAAATGTTAATAAAAATACTAAAAAGATAAAATTGTATCTAATAAAAAAAAATATTTTAAGATAAGCGATAAATTTTTTGTAGAATCAACACTTTTGCATTTCTACAATTATAAATATTCTATAAATCTTATCAAATGTGTTTTTCTTATCTTTTAAATAACGGCGCGTATTTAAAGCATATGTATAATTAATGTAACCTTAATACACACACGTTGATATAATTCATATTTTAAATAAATTTTTTTAAATATATTGCTCATCTTTTACCTGGGGTCGTACGAGATCATATCACACTTTCCATAGTAGCAAATGATTCGTAGAATCCTCACGACCGGCCTGCAGCTCTGCGGATGCCTGAGGTCCACGAAAGTCTTCATAACCATCTCCGCCAGATATCACCAAGAGTTTGCCGCGATTGATATTGTTCTGCTGCGTTTTACTCGACTTCAGTGAATAACGATTCACCTTCGAACCAGGGTCGGGTTTCGAGGGGTTCGGCGTTTCCACGCAGGTGAGAAAGCGCACGTGTCCTGTGTGTCCGTGAGGAATTCCTGCGCGGAACAAAATAATTCTTTCCTTAGATTGGAATAAAGATTTCGGATCCGAAATTTTGCACTTCAATAAATATTAAGCATAAAGATTTCATAATCGCAATCCTTAAAATTTTACGGCTATAATTTTAACGCGATCCATATAAAAATAATCTCACACGTATAATTTAAGTTTCTGCATAGACTTTTACGATACTGTTTTTTTTTTTTTTTTTCTTACTTTCGGTCTATTACATCGAAATGTAAGCGTACATGTGCAAATACCAATAATTGACAAAATTCTATTAAAGTATTATATACGATATTATTAATTACGTATAAATCAAAAGAGACGATTAATATGCTTGCACAAATCACGGCGTTACATCCTACGCTGAAAAAAAAACTTGACACTGATCGATCGCTCCTGTATCCTTCCGCACGGATGGGCATCGAGAGCGCGATTTGGGATGTCGGCCAGCTTTCTAATTATATCACGGCGCAATAATAACAGCGACAGAATGTGACAAGAATGTGACGTCAATACGCACCAGTCACAATCGGTGGCTGCGACATCCTCTGAGTTGATGACTTTATATGGGGAATTGGCACAGTGAGCAGCACGCCGGCGCTCGTACCGATCCAGAGCAACTCGTTGCAAGCCAATAGTGCGGTAACCCTGAGACACGCGGCCTTGTGCTGCCGAATTATGTCATCGCAACCTGCAGCAAATTTAACGCTTCCGTTAAAATAAGTGCCGGATCTCGTCCCTAAATGAGGGCTCGTTGCCGTCAATCAATTAGTTAGAATAAAACACGGTACATTTCAACAAGCTTGAAAAGTTTGTTACACGTATTTTAATATATTTACTTTTATCTCTTTATTTGTTTTAATCACAAACATTTTTATTAGACGAGATTAGATGAGAAAGGAGTCAGTTCCATATATAAATTAATAGAAATTTTATACAATTAATTTTTCAAACTAGCTTGATTGTGTAACTTTGATTGATTTTTCAGAAGCGATGAGAATTACAACGTGTGTATATCAAATCTAGAATATTTGTTATCTTAAAATTTACCTTTTTTATGTTACTTCTTTAAATTTTTGCTAATTTAATTCAATTTACAAAGATAATGGGTGGAAATTATGCAATATAATAAATATGATAAATAATAGAAATAATTAAGAGGATACTTGAGACAATGATAAAGATTTTCAATTGTTCGAGAGTTGAGACTTACTGGCAAGCATTTTGGTGACAGCCGGCGCTATATTGATATCCGTTAGGCATTCATAGCTACCGGAATGGAAGAGCCTCAGCACAGCGCTATTGTGTAAGGAAATCCAGACGCCTAAGCCTCCAGAATTCGCCATGCAGGAAACGGCGCGGCTCGTGTCGCTGCTAACCGTGAACGTGTGTTCGATGTCCAGGGTATGAGTGTTTAAAACTTTCACACTATTGTGGCAGCCGCACCAAAGTTTCCCGGAAACGGATAGCATCTTGGTTACCGGCGATGCCACCGTCCCGACGGATACCGTCGTCGGATCCGGTGTGTTCCATCCACCGGCTGCAATACAATGGAAAATAAATTTTTTTTAAATCACACTTTACTATAAATCACAAAAAAAGAAACATTGTTAGAAAAGTATATCGCAACACGTACTATGGTCCCGAACGTAAACAGTGATGTCTCCATTGGCGAGAGAAACAAACACCTTGTTATCCAAATATCTGAAATGACATTATAGTATTGCATATAAAAGGTATAGATCGTTAAAAATAATATATACTATCTATGGAATATAATAATAAAGTTAGGAGAGAGAAGGGGCTCTTACATGATGCAGTGCACGCTGCTGCCGTGCAGGATCTTCACCTTGTTCTTCTTGATCCGGATATTGTCGTTGCAGTTGTATACGTGGATGTAGCCGTCCTCTGTTCCCAACCACATCGTAGGCTGATTCGCGTCCTCCTCCGCAGTAGTATTGTCAATACTCGACACGTCACCGCTCAATGTCATGCTGCCCGTATCTGCGCATGGACTGTCATCCGAGTCCGAATCGTCGGAGCTCGAGCTACTGCAAAACGTGCGAGTATAGATAAATGTTAAACATTTTAATACAAATTTAATTTAATTTAAATAGATTTCTTTCTGAATAAAATTGCGTTTGAGATTTTACATTTAATCCGATAAATGAGAAGAATATACATGTATAATGTATGATGATTATTAATAAATCATACCCAGCTGTAAACCGCTTAATACTGCCAAGTATCAAGTAGGAGATATCGTTATTTACGTATATTTAGTCACGCGATTGCCGCGAGAGAGAATGATTACCTGTCTAACTGTATGTTACCGCCACTGGCATCCACGTCTTGTACCGATATGCTTATACCACTCTTGCTGTTAATGAACGGGCTGTTGTTCGACGTGCACGAGTTCGAACTGAAAAGACAACATTTAAACCCGTGTGTTCGTATACTTCAACAAACGTTCAAAATTATCTCTCGTCCCAATTAATTCCCTCTCGCTTATACTTCGTCTCGCTAATCTTACCTGGGCGTGCACGCGGGTATCCCGGCGACGCAGAGTATCCTGGAGTTGCAGACTCCATTACACGACGTAACCTGCGGTGGTTCCGGGCTCAGGCTCAGCACGCACACCTGACCAACGTATCCATCGCTGTTGCAGACCCAAACGTCCCTCGATCCCTGTCCGTTTACCAATGTCGGCGCCGCGCACGTGAACTGGAGACCAGCCCGCGTTTTTCTGATCGGCAGAGGTCCCACGAATTCAGGACACAGTCTCCTGTCGGCTGACAGTGCTGCACGCGAAATAGCAAGATGCTTAAAATATTCTGACTTGTGGATTTATAATTCAAGAACTGAGAAAATAAAAAATAGGCAACAGATTTTATATATGTACGTGTGTATGGCAAGATTTTTAATTTATGGATTAAGATGCATGCCAGGAAAATTAAAATTATAATAAGCAAAATCTCATGTTTATTTTAAGATCGTAATTTAATCTTCAACGTTTATACCTCAATATTTTTACTCATTTAATTCTCTTCATTCAAGTTTTCATTTAGCAGATATTATTTGTGAAAATCCAAAAAAAGTTATATTGATTAAATTTTGTTTTACATTGATTAAATTATCTATTTATAAAGAGTAATATATTCGATATTTTTTTACTACATTGCTACTAAATATTGTTTAAAAAAATCAAAAAAATATTATTTTTAAATATATACTAATACTTAAAAAATTTTTCATTAGGATGACTTTATAAATATGAAAAGCTCGACGTAACGCTACTCACCGAGTTTCTGTTTGGCTTCGTTAAAACTCTCCTCCCAACTCGCACGTTTGTCAGGTTTCGCGAACATAACAGATATATTCTCAATTCCGGCTCTGTAAATAAAGTACGCAAGTACAATATGAGTCACGTTGCAACTACGATCGAATCATCACGATTTAGAAATTCCCAATGTGTATATGTAACGGAAACGTGATCGAAAACGATTCTCGGAGAACGCGATTAAAGGATTTCGCGATAATCTTGGAAAATTAGCTCGCAACTGATTACCAACCAGGCTAAATTTAATCATCAATTGAATCGATTTAATCATAAATTTTCTAGTTTATTTCATCTCATGCATAATTATACAAGAACAAGTTTATAAATAAAGTGTATGTCCAATCAACAAATTTATAAATAAAGTATGTCCAATGGTGGATTCTGATATTTCATAGCAAGAATTTATTTCGTATTATTGCAAAGATTATAATTTCGCGTTCGCTCTCTCGAAGTATGCAGCATATAAAGACTTGAGTATGTATCAAATCTTAAAATAATGATATCTTATTATCATTAATATCTCCTAGGCGCTTTCTCATTTATTTATCTCATTTAATTTTCAAAAGATAATTTCTCAACAATTAAAGTAAATGAAAAATTTTTCTCTTGTGCTTACTGAGTATTGAGTGTTAGTTCTAAGCAAGCCAACTGCGAATGCGCTGCATTTCTTTCTGCCAGTTGCCGTTGGGCTTGACTCAGCATATCCTTAATAAGATCCTCCAACTGCTGCTTGGCACCATGCAAAGTCGCGGTGAGTTCCTGAAGTTGAGTTAACTTTGTGCAATCTTCTCGAAGATAGTCTACTTCGCGCGCCATTCGTCTTAGATTCTCATCTTTGGCTGGAAAATCGATATTAGGATAGTTTCATTCTAAAATAATTAGTAATTCGATAAATCGGCGTCTCTATAATACCTTTCATCACTTCGAGATCGTCCAGTGGAATTCGCATCAGCATTTTGTATTTGTTCGCGTCAAGCAGACCAACCAGGCTATTCGGACACGTGCTCCTGCGAATTTTTATCCCTTATTATTGTCGCAATACTTTTCTCTTTCATCTTTAAGGATTATTTTTTTATATGTATCAAAATATATAACTTAAAAAATCTATTATACAATTTTATTTTAAAAATCTT